AAAAAGGGGGCTGACAAGAAACACAACCCATGAGCTGTGGCGCGGGGAAACTTCGAACAGGCGGGGGGGCTCTGCCTGCAAGGGTAGCCGTGAGGCGAGGGGGCCCGCGTTCGGCTTGACTTTTTGGCGGGCGCCCGTGCCCGCACTTCAGAGAGCAATGTTCTGACATTGAACCCCAGTTCCAGGTAGCAATGAGCTGACATTGCGTTGGCCAGTACGCTGGCGGATGGGCTCCGAGATGCGATCGGGGAAAGAATAATACGCCCCCGGAGCCGGCCAGGGAGGGGGGGCGGAGGGAGGGGAGGCGGAGGGAGGGCGGAGGGGGGAGGGGACGAGAGGGAGGGCGGAGGGAGGGCGGACGGGGGGAGGGGGGCATGAGCATGAGCGTGACTGCATGAGTATGTCAAGACTTGGTGTGAAGCGTGAGTTACACTAAATCAATTAATCAGCGGCAGCAAGCAGTTAGAGGGACAACATTCGGTATCGCTCTAAAGTCGCTGGCCACAGGCAAGCGGTTAGAGCGACAATATTCGGTATCGCGCAAGCTTCGCCTGCCAAATGTATAGCATGAGTTACAGTAAGATGCCTCGTGCGTGCTTCTCTGTAGCATTTAAATCATTTGGCCGTGCACCTCTGGAGATCCTGTCCACGTGCCCAGATCTATGTTGTGTGATCGTAAGCGTGCACACCTTGCCTGGTTCACGGAGCTGTTGGTTAGCATAGCAGCCACATCCTATGCAATACCCGAGGCGGAGCTTACTATGAAACTGCAGCGTGTGTGGATCATTTACCAATCAGCCTGTTATGTCTACCTTGGCCTTTGGAGGTTTCTTGAAAATGGTGCCATCGTAATTCTCCGGTCCGAAACACCGAGAGCAACGCCATTGAGAGTGCTCTTTGACGCCGACGTTGTGCCCGGGGCCTGTAGAAGGCGGCCCGCGGCGCGAGGTCCACTCGAGAGGCGGGGCCGACGACCCTTGGGGGCCCCCCGCAGCAGGGACCGCCCAGGGCTGGACGGTTCGCGCGGTGGCGGCCGCCGCCGCCGCCATCGCCGTCGGCGTCGTCTTTGGCGACGGCGGCAACGGCGACGACGCGACGACGGCGACGACGAAAGCGGCGGCGACGGCGACGATAACAATTACGACGACGAAGAGGACGACCACGACGTCAAGATCCGACGACGACGACGACGACGACGGCGGCGGCGGCGGCGGGGCTCGGCGGCGGCGGCGACGGCGGCGGCGGAGGCGGCGGCGGAGGCGGCGGCGGCGGCAGCGGCGACGCGGGGCGGACCCTCGCGCTCGACCCGCCCGCCACGGCCCGCGGCCGCGGCCCCGCTTCGCGCGCGGCTCGGCCGCTGGGCGTCCGCCCGACGGGATCTCCCGCCACGTCCCCCTGTGGGCGGGAGACGGTCGTGGCTTCGCTCCGCCCGTGCGGGCGGCCGAGGGGCTCGGGCCGCGCGAGGCCCTCCGTGGACCTCAGACCCGCGCCTTCTTGATGACTCCTGACTCCTGACTCCCCTTCTCGGTGGACGCCCCCTTGGGCGCTCGGGGCCAGCTCGGAGGGAGCAGCCCGCCCGGGTGCTAGGGGTGGCTCGTTTGCCACATTTGTCTTGAAGGCCAGCGCCAGCACGTCCGCCACCCCCCGAAATCGGGATGCACGAGCGCTCTGGGTTGAACCGGGGCCCTTGGGGGGAGGCAGGGGGGCTTCGGGAAACCATTGGTTTTCAGGACCTGGGTCCGAACTTGATGTTTGCACGCGGCCGCCGTCTTTCGAGATTATCGCAATTTGCTGCGCAAGCGATGTTAACATTTTGGGAGGGTTTGCGAAAGGCAGCTTTTGCATTTTCCATGGGTTTCGCTTTTCATGTTGATTTGCTTTTTGGAGGGGTTTGACGTCTGTAAAGGTTAGCGGCCGAGCGCCCGTGCCAAGGCCCTCGTGCCCCGGTCAGGAGGATGCAGCAGAGAGGGGGTGAAAGTGGGGCGGCCTGGCATAGATTCTGTGCCCAGCTGGCACGATGCTTCCTTCCCCAACGCTTCCTCCACCAGTACGAGCTGCTGTGAGCCACCCATATGCGGCTGCTCCATGGGGGCCCGCTTGCGTGGGCTCTGACCGACGCCTGGCCTACGACGACGGCCCAGCAACGTATTCCCTGGGCCCACAGGGCGTGTCACCGACCCACCTGGACTTCGACGGCCGCGAGGTGCATTGTATCCCAGGAGGTGCCCCGCGTCTTTGGTCTACCTGTCTGCGCATCTGTTAGGTGCGTTTCGCTCGGGGCGCCGCCCACCCCAGGCGGTGCGCCACAGTCCGACTCCCAGGCGCGCCATCCATCCCAGGTGGTGTGCCTGGCTCAGTTGTGGGCGTGCCCTGGCTTCTGATCAGCCTGGCCGTGCACCGAGTAGGTGCGTTCTCACGTGCGCGTCATCCACCCCAGATGATGCGCCCCTCCCTGCCCCGGGCGCGTCATCCACCCCAAGTGAGGCGCCTTCCGCCCCTGTCCGCTCGCCATCCACCTCAGTTGGTGCGCCCGCTTCCGCCACGCGGGCGCGGCATCCACCTCAGGTGCCGCGCACACCCGTTTGGCGCACACGCCGCCCTTCTGGCCATGGTCCCAGCAGCCCCCAGCGCAACAGCCGCTCTCGGTTGCGCGTCCCCCCATCGCCCGCCGCTGGGGCGCCGCGAAGCGCGCTCCGCCGCGGGCCCCACTGGCCACAGCCCGTTTGGCGCACACGCCACCCCATTGGCCATAGGCCCTGCAGGTTGGCTACCGCCCCTGCCGGCAGCTCGCGCTGCCCCACATTGGGGGGCACCGCTGTCGTGGCGCCCTCCGTTTTTGCCTCTCGCTTGCCCGCTGGGAGCCCGCCTCCAGTTTCCGCTTCCGCTGGGCGCCCCCCGGCCCTTGGCTGTGATGCATGCGCCGGCCCTGGGCTCAGTCTGCTGCCTCTTTGCTCTCCCTCCCGCCGCCCCTGGCCTTTTGCGTGGCCTCCACGTGCCGCTCTGCGGCAGCCGGGCGCCCAGCACTCTCCCGCCGCTCAGCTTCGCCAAGCCTCTTCTCCAGCTCTCGCCGCTTCGCCTCCCCCCCCGCGCCGCGGTCGCGCTTCGCCCTTCGCCACGTTTCATTGGCGCAGGGCCGCACGCCCAGCCCACCGCAGCCGACCCGCGCAGCCACCACCAGCCCTCGCCCACCTCGCCACTGGCCCGCTACCCGGCGGCCCGCCGCTCCGGCTGCTCCCACTTGCTGGGCCCCGCCCTGCAGTGCGGCCGCCAGCTCCTCCCCTGGGTGCGCCCGCGCGACGCCGCCCCGCGCTCGTTGCCAGGCGCTGCCCTGCGGCCCGGCCGCCCCGCGTGCCCTCCCGCGGCCTCGCCGCGTGAGTGCGCTCTCTTTTCTCGCCTCCTGGCTCAGCGGCCAGCCTCTCGTCGCTTCCCCCCCTTGCATGCAGGACAATTCGCAATACCGTTGCCGGGTCGCAAAACAACGCGCACGTACCAGATTGGTGTTCGACACCAAACCCTCTTCGCACGTATTTGCGCGTACCCAGCATCCGCCGGTCTTAGGTTCGACACGTCACATTGGCGCTTACACGCGTGAGAACACGTCCCGAGGTCATATGTGCCAGTCGCATGGTCGACATCACCCCGCGAGCGCACGCACATGCAAGTGTGAAGAACGCGCCGGCCGCATGGTCGACGCCGCCTGTTGGCAACTAGACGCTAGAAAACGCGATTCGAAAACTCGCGTGCCAGATTCACGTTCGACATCACCCCCTCCGCGAACGCACTCGCACGTGTGATGAACGCGCTGGCCGCACGTCCGACCCCGTCCTGTTGGCGCTTACACATGCGAAACAACGTGCGCAGGCGTTGCGACACGTACCAGTGGCCTGGTGCACGGCATCGGCGCCAGGCATGTCCGCCAATTTGCGCAGAAATGCGCACTAAGCTACCAATTTCGGCGCGGCTTGGGCTCAACGTGGGTTCGGCGCCTAGCGAGGCGCGGATGGCGGCGCTGGGGGCGTCGGATAAAGAGACGTAATATCGAGGTCCACGCCCACGTCTGCCACAATATCTGGTTCGATAGCCTGGGCCGTCTCGCTGCCGAACACGATGGTCAGCCTGTCACTGTCGGCCACTTCGCGCACGCGAGTCGCCATCTCAGCGGCTCTCATCGTCGAGCCACTCGGCATAGTCATTTTGATCACGTGACCAGTTGCGCCGCGGGAGCATGCAGTCCGACCCCAGCACGCTGTCGCGCTGTGGTTTGCCCCCGCTTTCTCGTCGCATACGGCATGGGTTTAGCGAAATTGCGCGCGCATTGGGCGAAACCTCGGCTTGGGGAGAACATGTGCTCGATGGCCACTTCCGCCTCGGCTTCGAGGTACCCATTGCAGAGCCTAGCGGCTGGACGCCCAGGTTGTATGTGGAACGAGTTCGGCACCATGTCTGCCACGGGTCGGATGCTGAACCCGCGCGCGGCCCTGACCTTGCCGCGGTGTTTTGCGCAACGTGGTGACCCACGACGCGTGCGATGGCAGTGTTTGAAAATCCTGCGCGCGAGAGGACCATAGGAGGGAGGGCGGCGCCTCCGCACCGCGCAGTACCAGGGAAGAGAAACAAGTTGCTTTCGCATCATGTAGCGGCGGCGCGCTTGGGGGGAGGTGAGAGGTGGCGGGCCTTCGCAGAAGGCAGTGTGGCTTCCCAGAAGGCCTCCAGCCCATCTGGGAAGCTGACTGTGCTTTTCCGAGGTGATCGGAAGACCAGAGGCCTTCTGAGCCTTTGGAAAGGCCCGCCCCCTTCTTGCCTTCCCTCCTGAGCGCACCGTCGAGTGCACTTGTGGATCAGGGGAGGCGACGGCAGGGGAAGGTGGAAGAGGAACCAGAGGAGGAGAAGGAGGAGGAGGAGGAGAACGAGAAAACAAGGGAGGAGGAGGACGAGAGGGAGGGAGGGAGGGAGAAAGAGAGAGGGAGAGGCAGGAAAAGGCGAGGGGACCGCGACTCGCCAGGGCGACCAGGCTTGGAAGAGGAACAAGATGTGGACCGTCACCAACGCGCCGCAGGTCGGCAACGTCGGGCGGGGGAAGAGGAGGGGGAGGAGAACGAGGAGGAGAATGAGAAGGAGAAGGAGAAGGAGGAGGAGGAGGAGGAGGAGGAGGAGGAGGTAGAGAAGGAGGAGGAGAACGAGGAGAACGAGGAGAGCGAGAATAACGAGGAGAGCGAGGAGAACGAGGAGTGGAGGGAGGATGAGAACGGGGAGGATGGGGGAGGGCGGAGGGCGTGAGGGGAGCGAGAGGAGAGAGGGGGGGAGCGTGAAGGGGACTGACAGGAGCGATGAGGAACGGGAGAACAGAGGCAGGATGGCGACCGGCGCGGGCGTCATCCCTTCAAGTGCCCATGTGGCTCTCGAGGAGCATCGGGCCTTTGCTTGGGGCATGGTGAGTTCGCGGACTTAGCGTTTGGAGGAAGCGCAGCTCGATGTCTCCCTTCTGCAACAGGGGACTGGGCAGACGGAGCTCTCGCTCACGAACGCAACTTGCACACACAGCGGCAACGCGCCGCGCAAGCAGGCGCATTCCAACGAAGACGGTCTACCAGCCACGAGCGCAGAGGACGCCAAGCGGGAACGGTACCCGCCAGAGGAAGGGCAGCTCATCCTGCTCGTCTTCGAGGCGGGGGGGGGGCGCCCCAAAGACGCCACTGTGGCGCAAGTCCGATCCTGGGGCCACGACGTGACCTTTGCAGAGCGGACAGAGGTCATTCGACATGGTTGGCAATATTTGGGCACGAAGTTTCACCTCGGGAGCGAAGACCATTTTGGAAGCCGTGGGGCGATGGATCCTCTACCAGGGGTCGCTCGGATTATTGTGACAGCGCCGAATATTGCGCCCGCGATTGCGCCTTGGACCACGCCCGCCGCGGCGCCGCCAGCAGCGCAGGCGAGGACGCCGAGCGCGTTGCCAGCAGCTGTGACGGCCCAGCCCCCCTTTCTTTGTTCTCCCCCCTTCTTTTGTTGCTTGTTTGTTCCATGTCTGTCCGCGTCGCCTCCTCGCCCTCCTCCTTCTCCCTGAGCACGCGTGGAGGACTTGCTCAGGTTCGGAAGCTCTCTGGGGCCACGTCTGGGCAGGCTCGTCAGAGGAGTTTGCTCACCGCAGGTCATGTTGTATGTGTTGGATCACAGCACCTGATTAGACGGTCGGAGGTGCCATCAACGTTGGGTTTTTGTTGGCCCGGCGTGCGTTCTTGTTTCTTCCGTCTATCAGTCCGCGTGATGGGAGGGCGTGATCCAAAGTGTAGGTTGCCACGCATGCGTTTGGACGTTGCGACCATCCAAGGAGGGTGGAAACCGACCGACCATCATCATTTCGTTGTTGCGTTTCGTATCTCTCAGCCCTTGAGCGCCAATCGGGAAGCGTTGCTCTGTTATACATGCGGTGCCGTTTGCGTGGACAGCCCGCGCAAAGTTACATGTGAATGTAAACCACCCGCTGCCACAGCGCTTGATTCGCCGCACCAGAGGTCCCTCTCGCAAGTCAGACATGATGTTTCCCGTCAAGGGTTGGTTTCGCTTATGCGTCCAGGCTCGCTCTTGGTCGCCGCTCATGTGCCGAAGCCGAAACCTAAAATCTCCAGTATCCTCCGTCTCCTGACTCCGGTTGCGTTCACAATGGTGGGTTCATTTCATTCGTGCGGAGCGTTAGGTTCTGTGCGATTCTTCCCTTGTGTGATTTCTGGCGATCCCAGAAAGGTTGTTTCATCCCCGGGCGAATACAGGCGGTAGCGTCACTTTTCGCGCCCGCGCCGCCTGGGAATGTGTAGCAATAGCCAGAGATAGCGAGGATGGCAGATACCTACAGGGATCTGCTGCGGCAGAGCGCGCATACCTACAGGGATCTGCTGCGACAGAGCGCGTGCAAGCTCCTCAACGTCCCAGGTTGCGGGCACAGTCGCTGTGTGTGTCGCTGGCTATGTCTTCTCAGGCTGAGCCTGAGGATCCGCTGCAGTTTGTCCGCCGCTTCTTGAGGGGGCAGGAGGGTGGATCGGCCGCCGCGGACTCGTCTTGTGCTGCGGAGGCGAATCCGACAGTTCAGACTACTCACACAGGACGAAGGATGTTCCTCTTGACGTCGAAGAGGACCACCCCCCTCCCCCGTAGAATCTTGACACGGGGGGGGCCTGCGGTCGACGTATCCCATTCTTGTCGGCTCCCGGAACACATTCAATTCTAGACGCTTCGCGTATCCCCACCAGCCCGTCCAGAAACGACGCCCAGGCGAGTAGAGGGTCGTCCTGAGGGGCTTTTCGGCGTCTTGGGTGCCTCGGGGGGGCCTCTTTGGGCCGTTTGGGATCCTCTTGGGGGCCTCCTGGGGGCCTCTTGGGGCCATCTTGGGGCCATCTTGGGGCCTCTTGGTGCCTCCTGGGCGCTTCTTGGGGCCATCTTGGAGGAAATCGATCAAAGAAGAGGGGAGCTTCAATTAGTGCTGCCCCCTCTGGGGGCCGAAATGGGGCCAAAACCTTGGTAAAATCAATGATTTTGGCTTCCTCGGCGAGGCCGTTTTGGACGCTCTGACCGCTCCCCGCCCCCCCTGTCCAGGTCAGTGGGGAGGGGGTAGGGGGAGGGGTAAACCGCTCCCCGAAGGGGAAGAAGGAGGGGTGGAAGAGGAAACGCTCTAAACCACCGACGCCCAGAGGGCTGGTGGGAATTTCAAACGGGGTAGAAATCGGATCCGCCGTACAAAATAGGGTCCGACGCGGATCCCAAGAATCAGAAATGGGATCCGTGCGCTCGGAAATGGGATCCGCCGCGATTTCACGATTACGGTACGGTTGGAAATCGGATCCGTGCGACCTTCGTTGGGTTCGCCGCTCTGATTTCCCAGAGGCCCCGTGCACCGCGTGGGACCGTGAGGTTCAGCGCCAAGAGGAAAACACTTTCGGCCTGAGGATGTAGTGTTGGCCGCGGGCCACGTTGCCTCTCGGTTTTCAGAGGGCCTGTGAGCACCACAGTTGTGAGCTGCTTTTCTTTTCAGTGAAGCCAGGTAACCTCATTCGTATGTTTGCCTGCTGGGCTCTGAAGGAGGTCCCCTGAAGAAGGGGTCAGAAGGAGGTAGCTGTCAAAACAATCCTTCTCGTCGTCGGCGGCGTCCTGGTCGTCGTTCCTTATTATATTGCGGGGTGCTTCACGCAAGGACGGACTACGAAGGGGGAGGGAGTTGGGAGGAAGGAGGGGGCGAGAGAGGCGGGGCCAGGACGAAACGACCTGTTCAATTGCACTTCCGTTGTCAATGCGTGCTCCGGGAGGGGTCTGGGGGTCTGAGCGCCCTTGGGCCATTAGGCCCGAGACGGGGAATGGCTTCTTTGTCGTCGTCCTCCTCGTCCCCCTCCTCCTGTCATTGTCATCGTGCTACTTCTGATCCTAGCCGGACATGTTGTGGCGTTTGAGGGTCACTGGCGCTCGCAGGCGCGCGCTTTGCCTTATCCGAACTGGGGGTCTCATATTCGCAGCCTGGCGGCCCCAAAGTAGGGGCCGTCGGATACTTATTACAGCGCGTTTGCTTGTGCGGATCATCGTGGCCATCCCGTGTTGCTGCCGCTTCAGTAAGACCGACAGCAGTCGCTGCCCATTCGCGGTAATCGTCAATGGTTACGGAGCGCCTTTTCCACAGGGAGAGACATCGCACCGCTGGTTTGTGCATGCGAATGTTTCGAGGAGCGCGGTAACCACGACTACTTGCAGAGCGCGCTTGCACAGGGAAAGACCTCATGCCGCTGGCTTCCTGCATTTGAGCATGGAATCCCGGTGTCCTCGATCGGAAAATAATGCACCGCGGTGCTGGCGACACACGTGCATCTCATGGGATTGCGCAATTCCGCGCGCCTCCAGCGCGATATGGAGGACTAGCACGACAAGAGGAGGGGCACGATGAGCAGAAAAGGAGCGGACGACGACGACGAGGCCTTTTCCCCCTCTCGGGCCCAGGAGCGCCCACGCGCCCCAGAGCGCGAATCGGCAACAGAGATGTGATCAAACAAGTCGGTGTGGCCCGGCCCGGCCTGCCTGCCTCGCCCACTCCTTCCTCCCATCTCCCGCCCCATTTCTTCTGTCCCTGCTTTGGGCACTTTGCAACAGTATGAAGAACACGAGGACGACTGGAGGAGGACAACGACGACGACGGCAGCGACGAGGACGAGGAGGAGGGTGAGGAGGAGGAGAAGGAGGATGAGAACGGGAGCGCTCTGCCGCAACAGATCCTCATAGGTACGCGCGCTCTGCCGCAGCAGATCCCTGTGGGTATCTGCCATCCTTCTTGTCTTCTGTTTATCCTAAGAACTCCCAGACGGCGCCGGCGCGAAGCGTGACGTTACTGGGGAGGGAGGAGGGGACAGGGGCCAGCAACGGCCGCCATATCGAACGCGATGTTTGCTCTATAAGGGTCTCTGATGAGGGGGTCTCTGTCGGGGCTCAGGTGTTGTTTGGGGCCTGGAGTTCCCATGAAGGTTGCCCCCGCTCACGAACTCCTGCTGCGCTTGCGCGGCCTCGTTGTGACGGAGGCTCCAAGCGCCCCCAGGACTAGCACAGGCAGGATGAGGAGGACGGGAGGCAGAACGAGAAAGGGCAGGGGAAGAAAAGGGATGGGGCAAAGGGTAAGGGAAAGGCACGAGGAGGAAAAGATGAGGAGAGGAGAGGAGAGGAGGAGGAGGAGGAGGAGGAGGAGAAGGAGGAGGAGGAGGATCTGCAGCAGAGGAGGAAAAGGAGAAGGATGCGGGATGAAGCGGAGGAGGAAGACGGGCAGGAGGAAGGAGGGGAGGCAGGAAAACGGTGAGAGGATCAGGGACCGCACCCTCTCAGAAAGAGAGAGGGAGAGAGGGACAGACACAAAACACAGACACATAACAAGACACAGACACATATACAGACACAGAGACAGAGGCACAAAGACAGAGACAGACGCAAAGATAGAGACAGACAGACAGACCGGCAGACAGGCAGACAGACAGGTAAGTAAGTACGTGTGTACATCTACGCGGAGAGAGAGGGAGAACAAACAGAGCGACGGTCTGGACCGCCGCCAGCGCGCTCCGCAGGTTGGCGGCCTCGGGGGGATGCCCGTGCTCATGGAGGCGGGGGGGGGGCATTCGACCCGAAGGCACACCATACCCGGGATCGAGGAAGACCGAGGAGGGACCCGGGAGTAGGGGGAGGAAGAGGAGGGGGAGGGGGAGGGAGAGGGGGAGGAGGAGGAGGGGAGAGGGAGGGGGATGAGTGTCCAGGATCGACATGTCTGGCCCTTCCTGGGCCACCAGAGGTCGCTGGGACCCCCAAGGATAAAGGAGGAGGAAGGGAAGAGGAGAGGAGGGGGAGGAGGAGGAGGAGGAGGAGGAGGAGGAGGAGGAGGAGGAGGTAGATGAAAAGGAGGAGGAGGGACGATCCGTGGACCTACGGAGGTTATCCCTCCGAATTCCACGATGCGGCAGCCCAGACTTCCAACGTCATGCAGGCAGCTCGTGACCGCCAGTTTTCCCAAGTTGTTGGCCTCTGGAGGCCCCCATTCGAGCCCCGTGACCACCACGAAACGTAACAGAGTACAGAGGGAACCGTGCCCTGAAGGCGCATTGGCAAGAGTCAAATGCAGCGCGCTGGCGTGATCGAGGGCGACACATTGCAAGACAAAGAGTCGCAACAGCGCCTCGGGAAGTCATCGTTGCCCGCTTCGATCCCACGACATACGGGGCTGGCTGCGCGGCTCAGAGGCAACAACGGGGCAAGTTGAAGGTAATATGAGTGATAGTGTTGATGTTGCCCTACCTGTGGTGTGAGGTGCTGTGACTGCGATCTTAGTCTCACGGCGTAAATTGCAGTCGAATGTGATCGGGCCGTGGTACGCACTTGCACGGATTCTGGAGTTGCTTAGTCGGTGGCCCGAAGATGTTGTACATGCAGAGTCCCTTCTCCCTCGCCCCAAGATGCCGCATTGCTGTGCATGCCATCCTGAGATGTTGCATTGGTGGCCATGCACGGATCTGAAGCTTAAGGTCGCGGTATACACGTGAGCGCTCTACGAGCGGGCGGCGAGCAATCTGTATACATTCCAAGTCGCCGCGAGCTCCAGTTTTACGGAGATACGCTCGTCCATGGTAGCACGATTGAATGCTAATCGAAATCGTTGTGCAAAGAACTCTCGCTCACGCCTCGAAGATGCATCCGCGCCTCATCGCGGCGCTGCTTTGGGAAAGCAAGCGACGTGAACAACGTCGTAGTCATGGAGCCAATTTTGCTCACGCTCAGTGACGGCTTGAGGAAACCGATGAGTTGCGATTCAAGTAATCGCACTTCTTGCATCGTCCTGCACCTGGCATGCACACAAGGAACACTTGTGAACAAGTAACAACATGGAGATGTACTTGTTACGGTCCGCGTACGGAAGCCGCGGCAGATAAGCAGCAAACGCGACCGGGACGGCATTGTCCAGTACGTTGGTCGCGGTTGGTACGGCATTGTCCCGTGCGATAGCCACGGACGGTTGGGGCGGTCTTGTATGAGCCAGTACCAATTCCCCGATATCCAGTAGTATAGCGGCCCTCACGTCACAATGTGCAACGGAGCATCGTTGTTAAGAGGGAGGAGGAGAACGAGAAGGAGGACAAGGAGGAGGAGGAGGAGGAGGAGGAGGAGGAGGAGGAG